GAATTTTGTTCAGCCATTTCCTTGGTTAATAACTGAAGCTCCCCCATCACCTGAACGTCTTACACGTTTTTGAGTGCCTTAAAATGGAAAAAGATGGGGTAAGCTTCTCTTTAGACTTATGCAAAACCCATACCCTGGAAGTTCATTTTGAGTTCAAGTCACTTTGAGAAAGTGGTAGGTTTCGTATAAACTGGAAGACTGGCATCCCAAGAAATGTAATATCAAGGAAAACCGTCCTTTGGGAAAATGAGTAGGTGTTACGGTTGCTTTTCAAAGTGGTCTGCAGGCTGTGCGTAAATGTTCTGATGTTGTGTCATGTGTTGCGTCGGTTCCCTGTTGGCTGCCGTACTCCTTGGGAACCGTTTAGACAATTTTCGTTAAGTAGCAGGTATGTTGAAACTTTTCAGGTTTAATTAGTTCCAGACTTCCTTCGAATCGTTGGATGCCCACCAAGGATTTCCAAGATGCCAACAGAAATCTCTATGACGATAAACGTAATCACCCTGAAGGAAGGCCACGACGAGGTAATTGCTGTTTTGATGACTTTATTTTCTAGGAAGCATGTTTGACTATAAACATTATGAGGTTCAATCGGTTCAGTTGAATTTCGGACCACAGCATCCTGCAGCCCATGGAGTTCTTCGTTTGATTATGGAACTAGACGGAGAGGTAAGCCGTTTTACATTTTCAAACTTCTAGATAATCATGCGACTTGACCCCCATATTGGCTTATTGCATCGTGGAACGGAAAAGTTGATAGAATACAAAACTTACACACAGGTAAGTATAGGTTCAATTCATAACGTAGCAGGCCCTACCATATTTTGATCGCCTCGATTACTGTTCAATGATGTGTAATGAACAGTGCTACTCTCTGGCCGTTGAAAAGCTTCTCGGAATCACTGTACCACCTCGAGCCAAGTATATAAGAAGTAAGCGTTTTCGAAAAATACCCCATGCCTAGACTTAACTTACTCCTTCCTAGAATACGCTAGAAAACCTTGTATTTGAATTTACTGGACTGAAGTTTCGTAAATAGTATACTTAAAGGAGTAATTGCTGGGACGTTAGCTGGCATTTTACAATCCAATTCGACTACCCCTAAGGCCACACTGTCGAGATTCTGCTAAATATCTTTGAATTCAAAATTTTAATCTGCCGATGAGTTACTGATCGTTACATGCTTTACTCTTACTTGTCCTCCTTAATTATCGCCTCATTCTTTCTTCTCTTCGAGCACTTTTTGCCGAGCTTACAAGAATAATGAACCACCTCATGAACGTCGCCACTCATGTTCTCGATTGCGGAGCCATAACTCCTCTTTTCTGGCTGTTTGAAGAGCGCGAAAAGATGTTTGAAATTTATGAGCGCGTATCGGGTGCACGAATGCATTCCGCCTACATTCGTCCAGGCGGTGTTGCAGTCGATATTCCCATTGGTCTACTTGATGACATCTATGAGATAGTCTTAAAACTCCCGGAACGACTCAACGAGGTAAATGTGTGAAGGGACTTATTTTTGCTGTCTTATCATCTTACTGGATGAGCAGATATCCGTAGGTAGGACAGAATCTTCTTACGTCACTGTTTTTTTCTAGCTCGCTTCTATTTTTAGATTGTTCATCTTCAAAAAATATTAACATATGATGATATAGTATTATCTCACAGTTTGGTCTTTCTTATTGAGTACTAGTCCTCTCAGATGATCAAACCGAAAGTAACCCACTACGAGCAATCAAGATCGGAAAATCATAAGCGACACTGGTCCCTACTTGTTGCAGTTACATAAGCCTTTTATATTGTCAGGCTGTTCTGTGTGAAAAATGGACAGAAGAGATTTATTCACCCCTTGAAGGTACCAACCCTACTGATTTATTTGATATTCTAGCGAACATATCACGACCATGACTGCGCTTTTCATATCACGATGGTTTTTCTCTGCCCTCCTAGTTTTTATTTTGCCTTTTCTCTCTAGAACACCTTTTATATGCAGTTTAAAAGCCTCTATCTGTTTTGTTTTCCCCTTTAACTCACTTAGTCTGTGGATTATGTTGTCACACTTGTTTTGAAGCAACCTTTTTGGAGCTGCATAATTCGCTTAAAGCTGTTCAGGTGCTCCTGTTTAAAGTTTTTTACCTGGTCAATGTCTTCTTAGTTGGCCATTAGTTGTTTCTGTAATTGCCACGCATATTTCCACCCCCTAGGTTTCCGACCTCTTAGATACCAATCCCATTTGGATCCAAAGAACAAAGGATGTGGGTCTTGTTAGTGCTGAAGACGCAATCGATCTCGGCTTTTCTGGTGTGATGCTCAGAGGCAGTGGAGTCCAATGGGATCTTCGTAAAACCCAACCGTATGATGCTTATGCAGACATGGACTTCGACGTTCCGGTTGGTGTCAAGGGAGACTGTTATGATAGGTAAGTTTAACCACATCTTTTCGCCCACTTCCCGCCTTAACTTGTGGTGTCTGAACAATTGATGCATGGTACCCTGTACCGGCCCATGACGTCTGCAATTAATATGGTACGGTTGTGGTGAGTTGAGACTCAACTGACCTAAAAATCCGGCTAGATGCCGCTCCTCGCACGCTGATCTGTTTTGCTCTAACTTTATATCTGTGGCAGTTAAAAATGCACGTCCGTAATTCCACCTTTCTAACAAAGCGTAAGCTTCTTGCAATTTTCGGCTCGAAAAAGGACATTCCCGTATACTCAGCAAATCGTCTTCGGCGCCGGAAGACTTTGATATTTGATAGAATACCGTTCAGACAGACGCACTTTTGCGCTTAGTAGACTTGCGGGTCAACGAGCTGAGGGCACAGTCAACACACCTGTCTCTCTTGAGTCAGAGAGTCAGAGGTTTATAGTCTGTTTATGGATTCCATTCGCACGTTTCATGTCCCTTTTGAGGAATCCCGAAATGCAACCCAAAATGATTCACCGTTGAGACAAGCTATAAAGTACCATCGTATTCAGTGGCCCTCGCAAAATTCTGGAGAGTTGCAGCAGTTGCACCAACGACTGCATTCTATTTTACGATCATGTCGTTCCAAAAAATTACAAGCAAGGGTTCTGAGGCACTTCCACACTAGACGTCCGGACATCAACCGCATGAAAGCTCTGGCTGTTAGTTGTATTCTGACCTCATTGGGACAAAAAATTAGGCCAAATGGCCCGCCCATGCGTAAAATACCTCCTTGCATCATAGATAGATAGATAGACAGATAGATAGATAGAGAACTATATTTTAATGATAATATCAAAATCTTCAGCAAAAAGTGGCTCCATTCACGGAGAGCAAAAATAAGATAAATTATGGGGTCCAAAAGCTCGAGAGTAAACGGTCAAAGATCACAAAATACTCAAGGTAAGAAATCGACACGGT